GAGAGGGAGAGAGAGAGATATCAGTAATGTTGAATGTGAAATTGGATGTCTAGAAGATATTAGGAAGTCCATCAGGAAAGTAGAAAGTGTCCTGGGGATTGGGTTAGGTTACAGATGTCCAACTTGTCTTATTCAGAATAAAGATACATTAATAGCCTGAGATCACACAATGTATCAGAAAGGGAAGCATCTTCTATATTTGCTTGGTAGATTAAGTATGCAACTACTGTTTCAGTCATGTGGAATAAACACAGGGGATTTAATCAGGTAAAAAGGTAAATTGTTCATTGTTTTCAGTAATGAGCCCAACAAATTTTACACATAGCTCAAGTCACTAACTTGTCACTCTTGCAGCAGCCACTGGGTACTGTCAATCCTAAACCCTTCTTTAGATGGGCAGAGGGAGATTTCCTCCTTTTCTAAACTCACACCACCATCCCTATGGAGTAGTCTCTGTCCAGAGAAGTCTACTTTTAGTCAGATTCTCTACCCAGACCTGGAAATATCTTTCAGCTCAGCCCTGTTTGCTAACTCAGAGAAAAAAAAAAGGAGGAACGAATTGCCTGGAAGAATAAAGAATGCAGCAGTCATTGAAAGATTAGAAATACCGAACAACCGCATTTCCAATGTAACAAGTAATAAGGTGGTCAAAATATTTTAGGAATAAGAAACAGATAAATACTTCTGAGGTGTACTCTCTTTAAGTCATTTTTAAGGTCACAAAAGATGGACTGTGATGTGAGGGAAATCAAAATATAATGACCTAAGTCTACTACTGATGATGACTAATGAGGTCAAGAGAGTTTCAGGCTATGGTGCATTCTGTATTGCATTTCTGGGATTTTTTCTTGTGTTGTGACAAAGTTCTTGGCTTAGAATTATAAAAAAAATAACCATGACTAAGGATTGATATTTCTTCATTTATTTTAAAAAGTATTTACAAGCTGGGCATGGTGGTGCAAACCTGTAATCTTAGGGGCTCTGGAGGCTGAAGCAGAAGGATCACAAGCTTAAAGCCAGCCTCAACAATTTAGAGAGCAACTTGGTGAGACCCTGTCTTGAAATTAAAAAAAAATAATAATTTAAAAAAGGACTGGGAATGTGGCTCAATGGTTAAGCACCCTTGGATTCAATCCCTGGTACCAAAACAAAAATAAAAAAGCATTTACAAAAATTAAGAATAAAAGAATGAAAACAGCTTATTTTAAAATGTACTATATTATGGCATCAGTTAGATTTAAGTCAATAATAGTACATTCTTTATTCACATTGATGTTTCGATTTCCAGTGAATTGATGTTTCATAGTACCCATGACCATAATAATTTACTCTCCCACAAAGAAAGGAAATAAATCATGGAAGTGAAAACACTAGAGGACACTGAGGGAGAAGGATGATTAGTTTTAAAATAAATATGTTTATCATAATGAAAAAAAATGTGAGTCAGATGCCCAGGAGGTAGGAATATGGGAAAATTAGAATAGTCTCAATGGGACTAATTCTAAATGACTTTTCAATCTTTTTAAAACATTTATTTCTTTAACAAATTTTCCCTATAGGCACAAATCTTCCTCCACATTTGTGTTTTATTTGAATTCATTCATAGCTATGTGGAGAAATAACCAAGTATAAGCACATCATGATTTTATGTTTAATCTTTTTGTTTCTTTGTTTCTGACACTACAAGTCAAT